GACTCTCAACCACTGCGCCACCAGGGAAGCCCCTGGCAGGCGGATTCTTAACCACTGTGCCACCAGGGAATCCCTGAAGCTTTATTGAACTATAATTCATACAGCACAAAAACCACCCCTTAAAATAGTACACTCAGTTTTGTTTTAGATTTTGTTCTTTAGGGCATCTAGTTTTCTTTTTTTTTTATTGTGTGCATATATTCATACAGACAATATTCCCGTAATGTAATGCCACATTTTCCCCGCACCGTTTTTTCTCCTGTCAGAATCAATTGCTTCCACGGCTTGAACTTTTTTCCCCCGTAGAGAATCACCGGAGTTGTTTCTCTTCTCGGCAAGAAGAGTGTTGCTGTTTTCCCTAATGTGTTTGCTCTCATGACCCAGTATTGACTGGGATGATAGGGTGGTCATACCAGGTATCACTGGGGAAATACTGGTTGTATTCTTGGGAGTGAATTTCCAAGTGCTATAATATTTTCAGATTATAGTTACTATGGGCTGTCCTTTTGGAATTTGCGTGGCTGGGTGTTCCTTCCAGCCTGTTCTGGTTTTTGTTTTGGTTTTTCTTTTGGCCGTGCTGCGCAGCTTGCGGGATCTTAGTTCCCCAGCCAGGGGTTGAACCTGGGCCCTCAGCAGTGAAAGCGTGGAGTCCTAACCACTGGAGCACCAGGGAATTCCCCAGACTGTTCTCGTTATAGTGCTCTCCGCTTGCAGGGATAATTCCGAAAATGCACAGAATGATGGTATGAGGCAGAGGAATTCACTGGAGAAACTGGGTCAGTGGTGCCCTTTTTCCAAACCAACAGATTATGTAATAATTCGAGTGAAATGAGACAACTGCAAATGGTTCCTGGAGGATTTTAAGGGCTTTGGCATGTGATACCTTTGGATTTATACTCTGTAACACTTTTCCTGCTAATTGCTAAAAGACTCCAGGTAGACTACATCAGCCACAGGATATGGGTGGGGCTGGGGGGAGTCCACAGAGCAAGAAGGTGCTGAGACAAGTTGTGTGGGAATGTGGGTCCAGCCCCTGGTACCGTCCACTTCGGACTTCACACTCTGCTCCTGAAGCAGAGCAGTGTGTGTCTGTGAGGTGGGGAGGGGCGCTGGTGGTAACAAACTGTTGCCTTTCTCCCTTTACCTGAATTTTCTCTGTTGACATGCTCATGTGTTGCTTTTTCTAGAGAAGAACATAAAAAGCATTCATCTGGTTGTGCTTTCCTTTCTGTCAAGAAGCAGTTTGAAGAATTAACCCTCAGCGAATTTTTAAAACTGGATAAAGAAAGAGCCAAGAACAAAATTGTATGTATTACTGGGAATAAGAACCAAGCGCAAATCCTGTTCAGCATCTTTAGTACTAAACTCCCTAGCCCGTCACAAACACTGCATAGACGCTTTTCCTCAGTAAGCACTTTCTAAGCCCCTCTGATGTGTGTGTGTGTGGATATAAAAGGGTAGAAAAGCGTCTGTCCTGGAGTGTGGCCTTGGGGTTGTGCAGAGAGAGAAACGTATCCCCTGAGTAGAGGTGTCCTCAGTGTGCAGTTACCTCTGGTGGTGGGACATGTGATGGCTAGGCTGGCATTTCTGCCTTCAGTGACAACTGAGATGGTAGCTCATTTATACGGGATGTGTTCATGTGTTAAGCAGTGGTGGGAACAGAGGGTTTGGGGACGCAGAGTAGAGAGCATATTGGGAAAGGGGCATTATGTGTGTTGGGAGAAAGAAACACCAGTCCTACTGGACCTTGAAGGGATTTCTGCAGGCGAACTTAGGCTCTTGCACTGGGTTATTGGAAGAGTGAAACCGTGAGTCCACAAAGAGGCAGCTCCCAAGCAGCCTGGGCTGTAGAGAATTAAGGTTGCCAGAGAAAACCAGGACTCCCAGTTAAGTCTGAATTTCAGGTACACAAGGAGTAATTTTTTTAGTATATCTCACGTTTTGTATGGCTGTTTACTAAAAAATTACTCGTTTATATGATGTTCAAATTTAACTGAGCATCCTCTATCTTTATGTGCTAAATCTGGCAGCTCTACAGAGAGTAAATATTCCGGTATTTAATTTCTTTTTAGCAAAGCCCTGGGCAGGGAGTCCAGATGTACCAGTTGTCTCTGCCACTCACAGACTTTGTGAGTTTAGGCCAGTCTTGGTCGTAGTTTCCTTGCTGTAAAATGGAGGATAGATTCCTGTGGTTTCTGAGGTCCTTTTCAGCTTGAAAATCGTATTCCTTTTTAGAGATCAATATAAATAATTCTGTGTAATATGGTACCTTTTAAATGCTAAGGACAAAATTGAAAATTTTTTCAGGAAGTGAGAAGGAATCAGTGGTCAGTAAAGCGGTGTATTCGATGGAGGTCTTGGGAACTGCAGTGCTGGAATTGGGAAGGGGGCTAGGGAGGGCCTTCGAGGTTAGGGGTCAGCTCATTTTCTCTGAAGTGCCACAGATGGTAAGTATTTAGCCTTCGTGGGCCACAGAGTTTCTGTTAGAGATTATTCTTTCTTTGTTTTTTTCCACAAGCGTTTAAAAATGTAAAAAGCATTCTTAGCCATTGGGTTAAGAACGGGCCATGGGCTGGATGGATGTGTCCCACAGGGCGTAGTTTGCCAGTCCTGTTCTAGGTGAAAGACAAGTTCTGTGTACTTCAGGAACAGTTGTGAGAAAGCTGTGAGAAGTCCCCCAGATCATTTTAAAATGTATATATTTGGGGGGAATTCCCTGACAGTCCAGTGGTTAGGACTCCATGTTTTCACTGCCGAGGGCACAGGTTCGATCCCTGGTCGGGGAACTAAGATCCTGTAAGCCACGCGGCGCAGCCGAGAAAACGAAAGAAAAGGAAATCAAAGAAAATTTAGAATTCAGTCCTTCAGTGGCACTAGCAGCATTTTATCTGCTCATTAGCAACATGTGCCAGTGACTACTGGATGGTGCAGACAATTGAACATTTTCATCATTGCAAAAAATTCTGTCGGACAGGGCTGCTCTAGAGTGACACCCAATTTTGAGGTTTGTTGCAAATAATTTATCACTGATATAAAAATTCAGGTCCCCTTGTGTCCCTAGGCACATTTGCATGTGAATGGATGTGGACAGTAAGGTTTGGGGTCAGAGTGCAGGGAATGGGCATAACCAGAGGCCTGTGTGCTTCCTGCTAGAGCTCCTGGATGGCCCCTCTAGGGTACATCGCTACTGGAGGTGGGATGGCGTGCGGACCTCGACTGTACCGTGGGGTGGAAATGAGGTTGGGAGCTGATCTTTTAAACCATTTATTAAGTCAGTTATGGGATTGCAGCACACAGCTTTAAGGCAAACGTTTATCCAGGTGAGATAATTACGTGTTGCAGTTTACAAATACTGAAAACGAGGAACAAGCGTTGTTTGTCATGATGCTGTGAATTTCTGAGACCCTGCATTTAATTGAGATGCTGCTGGTCAGTTTGACAGGACCACTGGTCAGGCAGCCACCTGGGCCTGACGCTGGGCACGTGTGCGGCTGAGGTAGAGCCGGGGCTCAGGGTCTGACCCTGGAGTGTACCACGTGCTCTCTGCTCCTGCTACTGCATCGCTGCCACCTTCTTTTGAAAAAAAGTTACCTCTATTGTTTTTCTTATTAGAAAACATTTAACCCAATAAAAGTCTATTGTTTGTTTTTTAATGTGGCAGAGAAATCAGGAGAGTGAAAATTAGGGAGGAGGTTTCTGGATTTGTTGATGTGATTGTCATTTGTCCCCCTGGAGAGAGCACTTAGCAGAATGAAAGGTTGGAAGCCAGATTTAGAGAGCTGCTGCAGGTGGAAGGTTTCTCTGTTTGAGGAGCACGCTGATGCTTGACAGCGTCTGTTTAAGTGAACAAGAGGAGGGCTCCGGACTTTCTGTGGGAGCTTCAGAAGCAATGTAGGGCAGTGGGGAAGAGCAGGGCTCTGCCACAGACTAGCTGGTACCCCTGAGCTGGATGCTGCTCTGGACCTCGGTGTCCTCATCTGTGTAATGGGGATAAAGGTGGCACCTACCTCATGGGGACATGGAGCAGTGAGTGAGTTTGGGTGTGTGGAGCAGGTAGAATGGTGCTCGGTACAAGCAAAGCGGTCCATCAGTGTTTTCTATTATAATTATTGTGGGACAGCTCAAATGAGAGCTAGTTGAGGGGAATTCCCCAGCGGTTCAATGGTTAGGACTCGGCGCTTTCACTGCTGGGGCCTCGGTTTGATCCCTGATCGGGGAACTGAGATCCCACAAGCTGAGCATGGACAAAAAGAGAGAGAGAGAGAGAGAGAGAGAGAGAGAGAGAGAGAGAGGCAGATGAGGTGAATGAGGACATTTACCCCATATAGCTGGGCATCTCTATTCGAGCATGCCTAGAGCTTCAGTTTCATTTGTCTATTCTTTATTTCCAGGCAAAGGAAACCAACAATAAACAGAAAGAATTTGAAGAAACTGCAAAGAAAGTCCGCTGTGCCATTGAGCAGCTAGCTGCCTCGGAGTGACGCCATCCCCACCGTCACTGCCCCACAGGGACACAGACACATCCTTTCCAAGGCACAGCTCTCAGCATTACCAGCTTTCCTCTGGGGCCTCTTAACTGTGCCTTAGGAAAGGAGAACATCAACATTTTGAAATTAGAATATTTACCTGTATTTTTGGTTTTTTTCTTGAAGGCGGTGCCAGGGGCTATTTCTATTGTACAGCTGGTGCTAAGTACAGTGACGGATTCTCTTTTTTCTCTTTGGTAGTTTTTGCTTTATTGATTCCTGGACTTAGGGTGAGGGGAGAAGTTTGTCCACGTGGGTAGAGCCCTTTTACAGTGACCTGTCTGGGCTTCACACTGACGACTGGCTGTCCAGCTGAGATGCGATGCGTGAATGTGATCATTGGTCCATTGTGACTGGACAAACAGGATTAAGAATGCCATTTTAAATTTCATTTGCATAATAATCTCCATGTATTGTGTGCGCTTCTCATGTTCCAGGTGCTCTGTATTATCTCACGTTGACGTCTGCAGGTCCTGTGACCATACCTTTTTACCCCATCAGGTCTGTGGTGTCTCAGCAGCTCCCTTCCTCCCAGGTGGATTGGACAGACCCATCCCTGCCACGCCTCTGAAAGTGCCCTGTGTGTGAGGTGTTCCTCGCCATCCCATCTTGTGATTTTCAGGTTTACAAGGGGGAGCTATGGGATTAGACCCTAGACTCTGCCTCTGGACTTGATCTGTGTAAGAGCCCTTTCCATGACTGTAGCATGAGCGGCTGGGGGCTGGAGGGCATGCGGAAGGACTGATGTCTTGAGGGTAGAGCTGGCCTCTTGCTTTTGAGGTCAGCTGAAGGCACTTCTTCACCTCCAGTGGCACATGGGAAGTTTGCAACATTTCTCTATAGTAGACGAGGAGAAGGTTGTCCTTTGTGCCAGACAAGGAACTTTCCAGAAGCCTGGCTCACTGCCTCTTCCTCTTTAGTTAGCAGGGCACACAGAGGGGATTCTTCCTGGGAAGTTTTGCTCTGGACCAGCTGTCATCCATGGACACAGCAGGCAGGGGTGGGATGAAAAATCCAAGGAAGGAGTTCCTGTTCTTAGTATTTCTAATACTCTTCAAATAGCTATTCCCCATTAATGATGTGGATTAGGCAGCTGTTAATTCCACTGTCTTTCTAATGTGAATCTTCCTAAAGGAATAAATTAATTTAAAAAGTGGATTGGAAAACCTCTTTGGGGGAAACTTCTTAAAAACATAGATGAGTCGTTTATGTTGTCTGCAGTCTTGCAAGGTCACAAATTCAGTGATATTTGAGTTTCAACACCAGCACGGACTAGGCAGAGAGTCGGAGCAGTTGTAAAAAAGGCATGTGGGACACCCACTCCGGGCCCTAACTGTGCCCTCTAACGGTGTGCTTGCCTTGTGGGCTTGGGACTGGCGCCTGTTGAACTGGAGCTGCAGTTTCCTCACCAGTAACGTGGGGATCCTAGAGCCTTGTCGTCTCAGCTGGCTCTTTTTATTGTAGCAACATGGTTTTCATTTGAGGAGGAGAGGAACTGAGACACAGCCCTCAGCCCCTCCTAAGATTCTGCAATGTTGTTTTCTTTTCTTTGTTTGTTTGGATTATTATTTCGCAGAACAGGACAAACTACAATTAAAAGTAAGCACAAAGCCTTTCTTAGTCATTGGGGACACCAGTGTGAATTTTAGATGGATTTGGACACAAAGTAAAGTAGCAGGAAATATCCAGCAGCAACTGTCATTTATGAAATTGCTGCACAGTTAGCCAGCCCTAGTGAGCTGGAGGGCGCACACTGGCTGCTCCTCCCCGAGAACAGTGCAGTGGCCTGAATCCCTTCTAAATGACTTGGCTCAGAGCTGTGCAGACTTGATGGGCTGCTGCAGGCGGTCTGTCAGCCCTGAATGGCTGTGTCTCCCTTGCTCCACACCTGTGCCACGTTCTCCACATCACCACCTCCGCACGGGTACCCTGCTCTCCACCCCGAGGCCGGCTCACGCAGGGCTGAGGCCTGATGTTAAGATGATAGATTTGATTTCATCCTCCTTCATGAAGTTAAGCTGCAGGGTGGATTGTTACTGTCCTACTGGAAACCTCTGGGGGTCATCTTGGTAGTTGCCAAGAATAAAAACTATTTCATTTCAAACACTGCAGACCCTACTGGGCTTTTAAAATATTGTTGGCTTTCGGTGGTGTTCCCTTCTTAGCCTGCCAACTGATCCTTCCCGCCCCAGCGGTTGCAGGGGAGGGATGAGTCCTCGCAGAGAGACAGAGCCAGCCTTGGGCTCCTCTGCAAGAGCCACTTGAACCCAGAGCCATTTGTTTGTGTCATCTGGACTCATTCCATGTATAAACCGGCTATGAAAAATACACCTCAGACTTAGGTTTTTCTGCCACATCTCAGAGAGTAAAATGAATTTTTCCCTCCAAGTTTGGAGAATATTGCAGAGGTTTTTGTTATGGGGAAAAAAGCACCCCCGCCTTTATATTCATCTCAGCTGCTTATTTTTGATATTTGTGCCAATCTGTAATAACTGGTCCTTACAAACTGGCTTTGTAGAGAAGCTGAGAAAATGTGTTTGCGCTGTTTCCTTTGCACAGTGGGTATTGCAGTTCTCGGCTTTGTTGGGCTGTGCTGTGGAGCAAGGCGAAGCTGGAGCCGACCCCTCAGACCATCCTACACATTTCCTCTTCTAGAAACTTTTGTTCTAAAACCATATTTATTGCTGGACCTTAATGGCTGCCAGCGTCGGGAAGTTTCCTAGACCTCTATTAATGAAGTCTAAGACCCTTGCTAAGTGCAACAGCCTCAACCTTCTCTCGAATATGTGTCTGCCTCTCAGGTTCTCCAAGTCGGAGGGAGTCTGGAAGGGTTGTAACTGGTGGTTAAGGGTGTCAGGTGTGACAAGGTCAGAGCCTGTGGGCAGCCTGGGGAATGGGGATCTTCCGTTCTCAGCGCTGGGAAAGATGGAGCGCCAGCCAGCCATTGCCTGCAGGTTGACACTCCCTTGGGATGCTGACCATTCTTTGCAGGTTGTACTCACTTAAAAAGAAATAACAATTGCCAGTAAAGTCTAATGTGATCTTACCCGCATTTTTTAGATGCAGAAATGGAGATTTGTAAAGAGGTGAAACAGCTTGTCCAAGATCACACAACTAGTAAGCATTCAGGTTGGAATTTGAATCCAGGCTGTCTATCCCCAAAGCTGGGCCCTCACTGTCTAATGACAGTGCCCAGCCTTGAGGGGGTGCAGTGGGGGATGGCTGTTGGCAACAGCCTGACCCCAGGGGGCTAGTGCTGTAAACCACCCCCATTGTGTTTTTCAGACAGTTTTGTCACAAAGGCCCTCATGTAGACTGACACCTCCCTGCTGAGGCTTCCATGGAGCCTCACTGCACAAGTTTTACCTTTTTATTTTAAACTAAGGTTCACAGGAAGTCGTAAAGCTGGAACAGGGTTTCTGTGTACTCTTCACCCAACCTCCTGTCATAACTACAGTACAGTGTCTGGAGTCGCTTCCAGCATCTAAGGCCTGAGCTGAGAGGAGGTGAGCGGTACAGCCCAGCGAGCTCTGAGCCAGGCTTACCATCGCCAGGGAGTTCCTGACTCGCCCTGGGTGAATCTAGCTCTTGAAGCAAAGAGCCAGCGGAGCTGTAGGTTTTCTCTCCACTAGCCCAGCCTACGGCATTTGAGCCGGCTTTCAGCTGGCTGGGACCAAACTGGGGCCTAGGTTTCTGTGGCAGTTTTCCACCTGATCTCCAAGGTGGTGACGTTTGTCCATCTGTTCGCTCAGACACTTGAGCACCTGTTGTTCGCCGGGTGCTGTGTCCAGGGCTTGAAGCCTCCTGCAGTGAGCTCACGGGTTCCTTGTTCTCTGAATGGTGGGAAGATACAGGCCACCTAATAGCCATATGAGTGTGTCCGTGGGAGCACCAAGAAGATGACAAGGAACTCTCAGAGCATCCTGCTTGTCAGGAACGAGGAGGAGGCTGCCAGACGGATGAGGAAGGGAAAGATGTGCCAGGCAGAGGGAATGGGAGGGTCCATTCTGCGAACAGCAGGTGCATTCTGTGATGAGGGGGAGGGGTGGCTTGCTCCATTTTCCCTCTTAGCAAAGCCTGTCAAGGCGGCCACGATGAGCCCTTCATAGGCCTGTGAGTTCTGGGGGATGAGTGCGACCAGCCATGCGGCTGCCGCCCTGCACATCAGTGCTTCCCACCTGTGACCCCAATCATTTGAGAACCCTTTAGAAGGGTTGCTTTTGACTAGAAGAGTCTACCAGGATGAATTTGCTTCATAATGCACCCTGAGTGAAGGAGTTGACCTGTCGGGAAGGGTGATTTAGGAAGGTTCATCTTCTGTTGGAGGATGTTTGCCAAATGTGGTGAGATTAGTTGTAGTATAGCTGGTGCTCAGCTGCTCTCACAGTAATTTCGCCAGTGGTTTCAGCTGTTTCCCAGTCCTGCGTTGGAGGCCATTTACGGCGTCATCGGCCTGGAGAAGGAAGCCTGTCACTGAACTCAGGCATCCTGTTCTTTCAGCTTCTGTGAGTTCAATGTAAATTTAAAGGAAAGAGGCTTGGCTGCAGCCCTGTTTTGTCACCTGTAATTGGGATTTCTTCTATCAAAGATCACGCCTGCCCCTGACTTTGGTGGTAGTGGTCTGATGCTGGCTTTGAAGAGGTCCCGAGAGCCTGGTGACAGGCTTGGTGCTCACAAGTTCTGGATTGCAAATTGATGAAAGGAGGATGAATGATGAAAAATAATGGGTCATTCTAAGCGGTACCTTTTCACTGGGCTACGGTATAATTTGGATCCATCTCAAGAGAAGTAGATTGGCGGAATTCACCCAAGTAGCCTCTCAAGGACCAGCGCCCACTGTCTGGGGACAATCCAATCAGTGGCTCTGACTTACACATCTAGGGTTTAAAACCCTGAACCAGGGCTTTAAAGCAGTAGGGAGTAGACTGCTCACCTGGCCATCTACACCGCAACGTGAAC